CTAGCTATGTTTTCCATACCCTGGCTTACATAGTAACAATCTTGTGCCTTTAAATCTCGGGTAGCAATGCTAAAGCTTTCGATTTGAGTGGGAGTACTAGGAGATTTTTTTTGTATAGATGAAGCGTCAGTAAAGCCAATGATGTTTCGGTAGGCTAACACCTAGCGGTTAATTCAATATATGACCATATCTCGTTCGTTTTTCCCGAATATTTAATGTTTACGAAAAACCGCTAGGATCGCGAGAATTGCATTGAGCGCTGTCGTCTCAGAACAATTCTAAAAACCATTCCTTTAGCATTTTTCGGCGGCTTAAAAGTACTACTTCTGTAACTCTACATTTCGGATACTACGATCATCAATGGGTTGATAATATGAGCAATGGTCGCACAACACTTATATCTCCCGAGAATCGTAGCACTAGTGTGTTGTGCTTTTGAGGTTCTAGTGTTTGAAATCCAACCTCAACAAACTTTCTTACAGTGTTTATCAACAAAGCGAAATATGAAAAATCGGAAAAAATCTGGCAAAACTTCTCGCGCACTCAATAGAAAATAGTTTCATTAAAATTATAAGAAGCACCTTTTTCATTGAGCAGCTGACTTCACCTTCAATCCGCACAGGTCTACCCCTCTGCACAGTTTGCCAAACGACGTCGCCAACTGCCAGAAATGAGCAATTTTGACTGTCCAGGAATCTTAGAAGGTCGTCTATCTGGAAGAAAGATGAAATACATCTCAGACCTCCAACACATTTATACTAGCGCGAGTATTAGTATACAAGGAGTGTTTTGCTGCAGGAATCACTCGTACTGTCTTTCAAGCGGTGGATCATCAACATATTTGTAATCTCAATTTGAAAGGCCTATGCTTTTGCAAAAGTATTTTTAAAAGGTCTTTGGAATACTTGACTATTCGTGAAAAATATTCAATTTGCATTTTATACTGAAAGAACTAGCCTGAGTTTAGGTTTGTGGAAGTTACACTCCACTACCACTGGATTAGGCACCTCACACAACACAATGTTTGTTTTCTACAAGGGCTTCAAACA